TTAGCTACAAAAGATAAAAATAGGCTCAAAGTCAAAGGATGGAAAACAATCCTACAAGCAAATGGGCCAAAAAAGAAAGCAGGAACAGCTATACTTATATCAGATAAAACAGACTTCAAACTCAAAAAAATAAAAAGAGACCCCAATGGTCACTACATTATGATTAAGGGGACAATACTTCAAGAAGAAATAACACTCATTAACATATACTCACTAAACGAAAGAGCACCAAAATATATCAGACAACTGTTGTCCTCTCTGAAAACAGACATCAGAGAAAACACATATGTAGTGGGAGACTTCAACACACCACTATCAACAATGGATAGATCAACAAGACAAAAAATAAGTAAAGAAACTAAAGCTCTAAATAAGGACCTAGAGCATTTGGGCTTAACAGACATCTATAGAACACTAAACCCAAAAAAAACGGAGTACACATTCTTCTCAAGTGCACACGGATCATTCTCCAGGATCGATCACATACTGGGGCACAAGACAAACATCAACAGATACACCAAGATTGAAATCATACCAACCATCTTTTCTGACCACGAAGGCATCAAACTAGAAATAAATCATAAAAGAAGGCAAGGAACTATCCTACCTCATGGAGATTAAAAGCCACACTACTGGAAGACCACTGGACTAACGAGGAGATCAAAGAAGAAATTAAAAAATTCTTTGAATTGAATGACAAGGAGGACACCAATATCCTAAATGTATGGGATGCAGCAAAAGCAGTAATAAGAGGAAAATATATAGCAATAGAAGCTCACATCAAAAAACAAGAAAGAACTCAAAGAAACAACCTAATCTCGAAGCTCAAAGATCTAGAAAAAGAACAACAAAAAAACCCCAGAACCAGTAGAAGAAAAGAAATAATAAAAACCAAAGCAGAAATAAATGAAATTGAAACTAAAAAAACAATCCAAAAGATCAATGAAACCAAGAGCTGGTTCTTTGAAAAAATAAATAAAATAGACAAACCCCTAGCCAGGCTCACAAAGGAAAAAAGGGAGAAAGCACAAATACACAGAATCATAAATGAAAGAGGAGAAATCACAACGGACACAGCAGAAATCAAAGAATAATCAGTAACTACTATGAACAGTTATATGGAAACAAGTTCAACAATCTAGAGGAGATGGACAAATTCCTACAACTCTACAATCACCCAAAGCTAGATAAAGAAGAAATAGAACACCTAAACAGACCAATTACAAGCAGCGAAATTGAAATGGTAATTAAAAACCTCCCCAAAAACAAAAGCCCAGGACCTGATGGATTTACAAATGAATTCTACCAAACATTCAGAGACGAATTAGTGCCTATCCTTCACAAACTCTTCCAAAAAATTGAGAAGGAAGGGACAATACCAAACACGTTCTATGAAGCCAATATTACACTAATACCAAAACCGAATAAGGACAACACAAAAAAGGAAAACTATAGGCCAATCTCCCTAATGAACACTGATGCAAAAATCCTCAATAAAATTTTAGCTATCAGAATCCAACAATGTATCCATAAGATAATTCACCACGACCAAGTTGGATTCATTCCAGGGGCACAAGGATGGTTTAACACCCGAAAATCAATCAACGTTATCCAACACATCAACAAAAAGAAATATAAAAACCATATGATAATATCAATAGATGCTGAGAAAGCTTTCGACAAAGTGCAACACCCATTCATGATAAAAGCCCTTGAAATTCTTGGGATACAAGGAACATACCTCAACATCATAAAGGCCATCTATGACAAGCCAACAGCCAGTATCATTCTCAATGGTGAAAAGCTGAAAGCAATTCCATTAAGATCTGGAACAAAACAAGGATGTCCACTCTCACCACTGCTTTTCAATATAATACTGGAAGTCCTAGCCAGAGCAATAAGACAAGAGAAAGACATCCAAGGAATCCAAATAGGAAAAGAAGAAGTCAAACTATCACTATTTGCAGATGATATGATAATATACATAGAGAACCCCAAAATCTCCACAGAAAAACTAATTCAACTCATCAATCAATTCAGTAAAGTGGCAGGATACAAAATCAACACGCAAAAGTCAGTAGCCTTCCTATACACAAACAATAAATCTGAAGAAGAAGAAATCAAAAAAACCACCCCTTTTATTATCGAAACAAAAAAAATCAAATATTTGGGAATAAATCTAACAAAAGAGGTAAAGGACCTATACAAAGAAAACTATAAAACACTGTTAAAAGAAATAGAAGAAGACACAAAGAAATGGAAAGACATCCCCTGCTCATGGATTGGAAGAATAAACATTATTAAAATGGCCATCCTACCAAAAGCAATATACAGATTCAATGCTATTCCAATCAAAATCTCAATGGCATTCTTCAAAGAAATAGAACAATTATTGATGAAATTCATATGGAATCACCAAAAACCCTGAATAGCCAAAGCTCTACTGAAAAAAAAAGAAGGAAATGGAGGCATCACACTCCCAGACTTCAAACTATACTACAAAGCCATAATCATCAAAACTGCATGGTATTGGAACAAGAACAGACATACAGACCAATGGAATCGAATAGAAAATCCAGAAATAAACCCACAGATTTATGGTCAACTAATCTTTGACAAAGGAGCAAAGACTATGCATTGGAGCAAAGAAAGTTTGTTCAATAAATGGTGCTGGGAAAACTGGGTCGCTACATGCAAAAGAATGAAGCTTGACCACTACCTCACACCATACACAAAAATCAACTCAAAATGGATTAAAGAACTAGACATAAGACCTGAAACCATAAAATACATAGAAGGAAATATAGGCGAAACACTACGGGATTTGCACATCAAAGACATCTTTACAGACACATCACCCAAAGCAGTGATAGTGAAGACAAAGATAAACAGCTGGGACTACATCAAATTAAAGAGCTTCTGCACAGCAAAAGAGACAATAACAAAAACAAAGAGAAACCCCACCAACTGGGAGAACATTTTTGCACCCAACACTAATGATAAAGGACTGATCACAAAAATCTGCAAAGAGCTGATGAGACTCAGCAACAACAAAGAAAATAATCCAGTCAAAAAATGGGCAGAAGAGCTAAAAAGAAACTTCTCTGAAGAGGAAATGCAAATGGCCAACAGGCATATGAAAAAATGTTCAACATCACTTGTAATCAGGGAAATGCAAATCAAAACTACCATGAGATACCATCTCACACCAGTGAGAATGGCACATATTAAAAAAACTAGCAACAACAAATGTTGGCGAGGATGTGGAGAAAAAGGAACTCTTCTGCACTGTTGGTGGGAGTGCAAACTGGTCAAACCACTATGGAGAGCTGTGTGGAGATTTCTGGACCTACTAAACATAGAGCTTCCATATGATCCAGCAATTCCACTCCTAGGTATTTACCCAAAGGACACAGAAACATCAATTCCAAAGAACACCTGCACTCCTATGTTTATAGCAGCACTGTTTACAATAGCTAAGCTTTGGAAACAACCCAAATGCCCAAAAATAGATGACTGGATCAAGAAGATGTGGTACATATATACCATGGAATATTACTCAGCATTCAAAAAAGATAAACACATGCAATTTGCAGCAACATGGATGGCACTGGAAGGGATCATGCTCAGCGAAATAAGCCAAAAAGAAAAAGAAAAATACCGGATGGTCTCACTCATAGCAGGAATCTAGAAAACTTAAATAAGGGACCAGGAAAATGAATATAAGAAAGTGAAAATCAAAATCAACAAAAAACTATGAACCAGAGACACTTTTTGGGGGGTGGGGGGCGGGAGGGGAGGGATTGGGGTCAGAATGGGGCGTTTGCAATTGTATGGGGGAATATAAAAATAAAATTTAATATTTAAAAAAAAAAATGAATAGGTTAGAATTATGTGAACTATTAAAAGACTTTCAAGAGATTTTTGAAAATAACAGATTGGTGACCTGTAATTTTTAGGGATTTTTTCGTGGAAATAAATGCAGAGCAGGATAAAACTCTTAAGATCTTATGGACAGAATATTGAAAACGTTTATTTTTCTGTCCTTAAAGGATGAGCAATTTATGCAAAAGTAGTATTAAGTCATATGACATAGAAACAAAGGATGATATGAAAGTGCTATTAAACCACAAGACATGTAGAACCCAGATGACTGAACACAAAACTGATTTATCCCACTAGATCTGCCAGTTCATGAACTCAAATGGTGTTCCTACAGATTTGTCTACAAAGACGTAGAGTATAAAAAGTATTAATAGCTGGATATATGTGCCAAAACCTGCTCGTGCCTGCCTGAAATGTGTCTATATATGTGTGTATATGTGTGTATGTATGTGTATATATAATAAATATATAAACCTTACATATGTAAATCTTATATATGTAATTCTTATCTATGTAATCTGAGGATCCCAGCTTGTGACAGACTTTTGAGAGAAAGTCTAAAAAAGCTACTGTGAGTGGAATGTAACATTTCTCTAGTAGATGAATTTGATAAAGAAGTAGATGACCAGCAGGGAAGTACGTTATTCCTCAGTGGGTCCACAATAATGAGAGAAAAAGTAGATTGAGACCCCATCTCTAGGACAATAATCAGAGATGTCATTAAGGCCTTTGATATTTACTGAGGAGCTTTGGGCTTAGGTTAATGAAACTTATAGGACCACCTTATGATAAGAAGTTAGTTAGAAAAATGCTTTTTGTCATTTTTATACATAGGACATTTGGGGAAGAACTATTATAATGAACACAAGCAATATTATAAACACTAAAGGGTCCAACTCTAACCACAAATATATGTACAAACATAGACTGCCCCAAGAGTTAAAAGTATATAGCAAAGTAAAATGAGCTATGTGAATATTGCAAAGTTTTTAAGCATGAGATATTGTAGCTAGTTAATATACAACATGATTCACAAAATCAAAAAAATGAGAAGTCTTCAAAATTTGCCTGTAAGCTTTTCAAAGAACAAGTATTTGTTTCTGTTCTTCCTATAGAAGACTTTGAAATTAAGAAGTTCCATCAAAGGTCTCCTCAAGTGAAAGTAACTCAGATGTAAACACCTGTGGTCTGAAAGCGTTCATGACAAAATCTTCATGGTAAGTAATGAATGTACCTTTTGAGAAAGGTGAGATTTCATAAAGGTGTAGGTCTTTTAATCAATTCATGTTGTATAACATCTTCCATTGACTGATGGATCCAAAGATATCTAGATGCTCTAATATATTTTGCTGAGAAAAAATATTGATGAAGCATATTCTAAAATATATTTTGTAGGTTTTGTCTTTATCGCAAATACTACCCAAACCAGGAAATGTTATAATTTCTGTATTTCCTTTGAACATGTTGAATGAAATATGTTTCGAAGAGGAAAAATAACTTTTTCAGTAAATAAAAGTACAGCTTCCACTGATGACACAGCTCTGATTAATGAGCAAAGTTATATAAGTGACTTCTATAGAAATTGTCAAAGTCAAGAAGGAAAAAGAACATTTTAAATTAGTGAGCTAATTCTGTGTGGATACAGCAAACTACCTGATAATATGGATATGCTGGAGCTGTAACAATAATAATATCATGCAAAAAGTTATAATTTATCAAGCATTAAATGCCTAATATTATGCAAAACTGTCTAATATAGTTTTATTCCTCATAACTACTCTGTAAGTATACGTTAGCTTCTTCATTTTGTGTAATAAAAATCTGAAACTTAGTGAAGTTAAACGCTGGCCTTTAACTTTAACTTTAGTGAAGTTTAGGCTGACCTAAACTTACAAAACTAATTAATGTGGATACCAGATTCAAACCCAACCCAAGTGACTCCAAAACTGAAGTTCTTTATAAATACAGAACTGCTAAAGATGGCTTTAAATCAAGTAATTCTAGAAGATAGTTCAATTCAAACTTGTTCCTCCTTGTAAATACTTCAGAAATTCATGATACAAGTATTTGTTGGCTGCATCTTTCCTGTCAGTCTGTTCTAGTTACTCATGATTCATCAGTTACTATGTATTTTTTAATTTTAGTCTCTAATTCAGGTCACAGAGCAATTGTAACCTGATTAAAAACTAGTCCTATATCAATATTTGTCATACAGGAAAATATATTGTTGACTTTTCTAAGTGCTGAAAAATACTAGCCATCATAAGCAGCTATGCAAAACAACTTATAACCATGTACTTGCACCAAGATTAATATTTAATGTCTTAAGGAAAATATTTACATTTTAAAAATACACCATTCCAATCAAGTAGCAGATTTAAGTTAAAAGAAGGAAAGCATAATAAATATTGTCATTTCCTCAAGTTTAGTAGAACTTTCCTATTTTTTTTCAGTTTCACTTTTTAATCCTGAAGGCATTACTTCAGTGTGTATACATTTATGCTAATCATATACCACAGCCATGGGTTCTTCTATCAATATGAAATGTTTTGTACTTGCTGTTTTTGTGCATCTTGTATTGTTATGTGCAATATACAAAATAATGTGTCTAACTATGCCATTTATGCTTTTGAAAGAAAAAGCAAATTACTTACTGAAGAGAATGGCATTTGCATGCATGTGTGTCAGCTTTCAAGCCATTTCCTTCTACAAAATATTGCTTTCTACACTTAGAAAATGCATCCATCCATCAGTTACAAACCATTTCAAAGCACTTTATGAATCTACGGAGCAAAATGTACTTATCTTACATTGGCAGTGTCCCAGCTGTTACAAAATTGCTATTGTCCTAATACTTACAAGGCAATTTTAGCATCAGTTAATAATTTTACAGGATAGATAACTTCTAAAGCATTATAAAATGACAGACATTAAACAATAGCAACTTAGCATTTTTGAAACAGTTCATGACAGCTTAAAAACTAAAGTGATTTTAATGTATAGTCTATGCAGTTTTAGTTTCTCATTGACAATTCCTTTAAAAGATAAAAATGTGAAAATCCTTTTAAATAGTGGGTGAAAGAATAAAACAAATTTATCTTTAAAAGATATTCAGTAAAAATCTCAATTAGAAATAATGTCTCAAATCTTCCTGTACAGATAGTAGGTGACAAGAATTTGAATTTATTTAGGCAGAAAAAAATGATGGTATCATTTAATGGTAGGGTACCACAAAACAAAAAGGCATATCTATTCATTAAAGCTAATACAAAAAGAAAAATACAGCGAATAGCATTTTATATAAATCAGTATGCATTATTCCTAAACACTGTTTTCTATCAATCTTAGTTTAAAAGCTTCAGTTAAAGGAAAAATCTGGGTAAATGAAACACATATGTTCTCTGCTACTCCTTTCATTTAAGTTGTTGGGATAGCCATTCAACCCATATTGGGCTGGATATTTTACCATTCACCTTTGATAGCTAGTGCCTTGATGGTACAGAAAGAAAAATAGCTATAAACAAATTACATTAATTGGTAGTTTGATGCCTTATATGTACAGTCTCTTCAAGGAAAAAAAATGCTGTTGATAAGAACCAATGTGCAATAGATGCTATTTTCATAAATGGACTTATTAAGTAAAACCAGTTTTTCCATGAATGTTCACAAAGGCCATGCAATTGACCACATCATCAAAATATACCCCAAATTCCCTTAGTACTCAATTACCATCTTTTCCTCTATCACTGAGTACATTGATACTGCCTGGGTTCATTTCATAATTGTTAACCTCAGAAAATCAAATACAAGTTGAATTGGCAAGTGAGGTAAATTAGTTCACATGCCTAATTCTCCATAGAATGTTATATGTGTGTTTTAATACTGTCATTGTCTCAAAAGTTTGAATGATTTTAACCTTTTCATCATCTCAGAATACAGGATGTGTGCAACAGATGTTTGTTGACTGATCAGTTGACTGAATTGGTCCAATTCAATTGAGATTAACTATTTTAACCCATTAGTCATTTTTTTTACTGAAATTTTAAATTCCAGGCCTTTTTCTCAGTATCTTTATAGATAATCATTCTCAAAAGGAATCCACTTGACAGTCTTCAGATATCAAGCAGCTACTTGTAGCCAAAAATTAATTTGAGGAATATAAATTTATTAAAAAACTATTCTATCATATGTTAATTATAAACAGTTACATCTTTAATAAAATGATTCATTTTTTCATTAGTGATTTTTTTATTGAGTTAACATCAGTTTCTATTGCTGTTGCCCAAAACACCTGTAAACCACCACCAGAGTCCATTGTGCTCCCTCTCCAAAATCTTGCCCTCCTCCCCCTCTGGAAACCTCAGCTATGTAGTCAGCTTTCAAGGGTTAGTTTTTAAGCTGGTCTTTATCCAACCTTTGTTTGATTTTGCTACATTCCACATGTAAGTATATAATAATAATAATAATTAATATAAATCTGACAACTACAATGAAAATATAGTAAGCAAAGGTAATATCAGGTTTTGGTTTTTTTTTTGGCTTTCATCAAACTAACAGACTTACTTAAATCATCAAATATTTATTTACTTTTACCTTTGCTAACATTGTTGTTTCTTATTAACTAGTATTGAGTATAACAGATTCTATATAAAATAAAAAATACATAATCCTTGACAATGAGAAAAAGATTAAAGTTGAAATTTTAAAGCATAACTAAATTCAGCCATCTCTGAATCTCAATCTCAAAATGCTCATCATCTTTCCAATTTTTAACAAGAATGTATTTAATGGAAGTAGTGTGAACAGTGAATTCCTGTTTATAAAATCAAAGAAAAATCTACATGTTTGGGGGGAGTTCCACACAAGAGGAGTATAGTGGCAAGCCCCAATTTTCACAGTGAAGTAGCCTAAGACTTTCCATCATCTCTCATTACTGAGTTTAACATTTCAGTACATCCCAACATGTAGCCTTTGAAGTATGTTTGTAATATCTCTTTTCTTGAGTGGGTTTTCACTTCCTCCTCACATCATTATATGGCCACGCTCCATTACTGCCATTTATGTTTAAACCAAATGTGAAGACTCTAGTCCTGCTCTCAAAAGAGAGCAGACATTGGGCCTGCAGGTTAATGATCTGAGTTTATATCCTGAATTAAACCTGCATTTTAGTAGCTGGAGTGTAGATTACCCCATGGGGAATTTCTGCAGATTTTGAGCATATGACTAATAACATTCAATGGATATTTATAACATTGTTGAATCTCTAAAGCTAAAAACTTTTTGCTTATTTAGTTTTCTTTTCTAAATTCTAATATATACCAGCATCACATGAATTATTAATGTCAACAAATTACATTTTGAAATTATTTGTATTATTCCGATGCATATCAATAGGTTTTTACAAGAAATCCTAAAGAGCAAAATGTGTCCATTTAAACAGGAATAACTTAAAAGAGGTATTGGTGTGATGTACATTTGAATGTAACTCTAGATACCATATTATTTCCAAGAAATTCGTCCATAATTAGCATATCGGAAATGTCCTCTTAAGATTTCCCATTGCGGGCCTCCCCGGTGGCGCTGGGTTGCGAAGCTGCCAGCAACCTCTGCAGTGCCGGTTCGATCACCGGCTGCTCCCCCGCCACTGGAGGAGGGTCCCACATGGCACGCAGACCTCTCCTGCCGCCCGCTGCTCCCCTCAGCAGTGTACTTGGGTCCTTCTGCCTGCTCTGCTCCCCGCTCTGGCTCTGGTGAATTCTCTCACCCTACCGCGCTTCTGACTGTACCCAGTGCTTGTATAAACAAACAAACAAACAAACAAATAAAACATGCCTCTATTAAAAAAAAAAAAAGATTTCCCATTGCTTTTCCTATCTAGTTTAAAGCAGACCCAAACCTAAGGAGGAATGTGGACTATTCTGATTCCTGGAATCTCCTATATTCTGAAATTAACATGATCATGTACCTCTGAAGTTTGCTAAGAGTCACTCTTTCCAGACTAGCCCAGACCATTTCACTGAAACTACCATTTTGACGTTACCCTAAAGTCTACTGATGGGAAAGTGTCTCTGTTTGGTATGAATGCATCTTGTTAGAAATAAGTGATCAACCCTTTTAGAAACTTCACACAGCTCTGGCTTGACCCTAATTCCACAATAACACAAACTGACTTTCTATAGGTAATAGCTTTACAAGTATGTCTAATCTAACCCTTAGA